GCAAGCACAGTCCTCTATGCAGGATGCAATGGCCAGAGCTCTTGACTTTGAATTCCACGTTAAGTCCAGCACAGAGATACCAAGGTTGGTACAGTCATCAGGATTCAAGGCCTGAAAATGGCAGCTTTCAGAAAAGTTTGAGGAACTTTGCTGGCACTGTAATAAACCTGGGCACAAGAAAGCTCAATGCTGGAAACTTCAACACAGGGAAGATGCCACGGCAGAAAAGGCTGCTACCCAGAAAGGTTGTTGGAACTGTGGAGAGCAAGGACATATGAGGAGCCAGTACTAGAAGAATATCACCAATAAATCAGCTGGTAGTGCTGAGGGACGCCCAGCTAAGTGTAAAATGGCAAGCACACATAGTGTCTACGTGACAAGAAAGCTGGATAGCTAAAGGTGCAACTTTGTCATAGATTCTGCATCTCAGCAAACACTTGTGAGTGTCAAGGTGCTGGATCACAATGGAGTACCAGAATCTGTACAGATGCTCTGTGGTGTGACAGGACAATCTGCAAGGTTGTGGGGAACAGTGTAGGTAAATATTGATATCATGAGCATGAAGAACAGACAGAAAGTATACTTGGCTGACATTGAACACCAATGCATATTAGGGTTAGACTACTTACTACCGAGGAAGTGTGTAGTTGACTTGGAACAACAAAGGCCAAATTCCGGTAAGCGTTAAAAAAAGAGGTTCAACTAACTAGGTGTCATCAAGCTGAAGTCAAAATGACTGGAGGAGTTGATGATGATGAAGTGGAACCAGGTATAGATATTAAAGCAGAGCAGGAAAAAGGTCAAGATTTGAAGCCAATAGTTGATTTTCGAAAAGCAAGTGTTTTGCGCCCTGCTTGGGAGAAGGTGTCTAGCTTAAGCCCTGTGACAAAGAACTATTGTGCACAATGGGACCAGTTGAAGCTTGAAACTGGTATTCTTGTCCGGAAATGGGAAACTGCAGATGGGAAAGTGATGACCTGGCAAACGGTTATACCGAGAAAGTT